ATGGGACTTGATCTAAAGAATGTGCAAAAAGCGGCATAGACTGAGATATCAGAGGCTTGCTTGTGCCCTAAGATGGCAGATTTCCGTAAATTGCAGTTTCTGAAGTGCCGCTGCAAACAGTCCTAAAAATAAAGGTGATGTGTAATTAGGCTTTGCAGGAAAAAACTCCTAGGTTATTTACATGCTGAACATTCAGAAGTAAAAGTGGTATTTGGCATACTAAAGTAAAACTTGTCTCAGATCTACAGCTTTTTGCTAAATAATGCATTCTTTGCTTCTGCTTTGTATGACAACTCCAGTACTGTAGTTGTGGAGGGTATTTTGCCCACCCCAGAATTCAAGTTATCTTGTTAGAGGCAAAGGAATTGTAATTGACCTCTTTCTTGTGGCCATTATAACTGTGTTCTTCTCCACAGTTGCAACTTTGCCATGAGTAGCACGCACACATATTTTTATATTCCAGTGATGCAGTTATCTTCAGAAGCTGGGTGTGTACTAAATGAGAGATGGTTGGGAGTGTGTGGAGAATATTCTTATAATAAAGTTATTTAAATACAGGCCAGTAGAACTTGGATCTATCTTTAACTTTGCTTTTTTCTCTGTAATGGGGCAACTTACTTAAATCAGATCTTATCAGTGACTCTTTATTTTACTTGCCCGCTTTCCTGGATGCCCAATTAAATCAGCTAGGATTTCACATTGAAGTGCTGAGCACTACCAGCTTCAACTGAAAACACAAAACTCAGTATCTGTGTAACAAAAAATGAAGCATAGGTATTTTCATTTGCATACTCATTTATTTCATTTGGGCACAGATTTAGTGGATATTTCTGAGTATTTTGACCTTAATGTTTGTGTGTGCCTGATTTATAAAATAAGAATAATACTTTCCTATACTAAGGTGTTTTGGAAAACTATGTGAGACGTGGTAACTGCAGTGGTAAGTGCAATATGAAAGGCAAAATGTTTCTTAGAAAATATTTTAGTGCAAGCTTTTGAATTGTGGGTAGTAAAAGCCAGAACAGGAATTGCACTAAAATGAGAGTAAAAAAAAAATTGAGCAGCCATATTATTGCCATGCATCCTGCATACTGAATGACTCCGCTTCTGTGCAAAATGGCAGGGAAGCTTTGTAGGGTAGGGACTACCTTTATGATCTGTGTTTGTACAGCAGCTAGAGCAAATGAGGTCCTGGTCTATGACTGGGATCTTACATGCTGCTGCAATACAACTGAAAAGGTTACCAGGACATATGCACTCAAGCAGGATTATCTTAAATTGAGCCTTTTGTAACTGATGAGTGCTTGGTTTTGCAACTGTAATGTTCCTTTAAAATAGGTGTTTTTATACAAATTTAGATTACCTCATGTATACAATACTCTCACAGATGAGATGCTGGATATTTTGTAATGTGTAAGGGAAGTTTTTTCTCTGCTGTTGTCTTATGTTCTTTATACAGATATAGTTTTCCAATATTGCTTGTCATCCCTTTAAGCAATCCTGAAAACATCTTGGCTAAATAATGATCCCTGAACTCTCCTAACATGAACATTTATATGCTATGGTCAGCTCTGACTGAAGCCATGGACATGCATTATATAAGTGGTGAGAAATCCAACTTTTAGCACAGGAAAAGGCAAGCATATAACCATTTAGGTTTAGGTGGTTTGTCACAGGAAAAAAAGAAGGTAATGCAACAAAATGTTAGCTCTTTCCAGCAGTAACTTACCAATACTAAGTATTCTAGCACCAGATGTAATTTCTATACAGTTATGCATAGTGTCACAGGGTGTGGCTCAGTCCTCCAGCATCCCAGGAGGCTTTACTCCTTGCCTTCACCCTCCCATGGCTCCAGGACTCTGTCTGTCATGTCAAAATATACTGCATCGAGGAGGCACAGCCAATTTGCAGATCGCCACATGGACTTGCTGCTTGGTGTCCTCTTTTTGTGAATTGCCAAAAAACACCACAGAAATCCACCTCCCAAATCCTCCTGCCTTATAGAAATATCTGTTCCTGTTGTATCACCATTTCTGGCATTATCAACAAGCTAAGCGAGGGCGCACAGCAAGAACTTGTGGGTGGTTGCACTCACGTGTGGGTATGTCAGAATCTGCGCTCAGCTTTTACAATTAGTAAATGCCATATCTGTGTCAAAGGGGAGACTGATCAGTCCCTCTCCTAAAGCGAAGGGAACTTCAGAGCTCTGTGGTGCAGTGCCAGCCAAGGGCCAGGCGTGTACAAGCATCCCGCATCTTACATGGGGGTTACGTTCTAAAGGCAGCGCGTAAAGGCAAAAATCGCGTATAGTGAAATCGCATATTACCATGCCAGCAGTGACTGCCTCTGCCTACAAAACCTCCCACCGCCACCACGGAACTGTGCTTAGAGCTGTGCCGCTGGCAGCAGCGGCATGACACAGGGTGGTGATGGGGATGGCTGCGTGCTGCCCGGCCACCACCACGCCCGGTGGCCAGCCACACAGCTCCGGGCATGGCTCCATGGCGGTGGCGGGAGGTTTTGGAGGCAGAGGCAGTCACCGCTGGCAGTGGTGGTGGTGGCCGGGCCTCCAGGTAAGCTGCAGCGCCACATGCAAACTCAACCAACAGCCCCCCCCCGGGCATATAGTTGAATTTGCGCAAGTTAAATGCCTGTAAGATGCGGGATGCCTGTACATGCTTTGTGCAGCACTCTGCAGTCAGTTGAGGCCCAGGGCCTGGCACGGTGCAAGATTTGGGAGCCTGAGGGCTGCAGCAGATGAGCTTGGCATGCTTGGCTGGGGAAGCATCTACTAAGTCATCAGAACCCTCCCCTTGCTGCCAACCACCCTTGGGTTAATGAGGTGGGCAAAGCACGCTGTCAGCATCTGCTTGTTAGCCAATGATACCTCCTGCACTGCCTTTCTCACTATGGACTTGCCTACACCAAACTGGTTGGCAAACAGGAGACCATGTGGACATAATTGAGGGCTTGGCTACATGGCTATACATAGTCCTGTGTAAACAGGAGTTGAACAAGCTCTATGAAGAAGCAGTGGCAGGCTTTGACTTTTTGTCAAGGACTCTTGGCACTGTTTGCTTATGCAACTTCTTTAATATTCAGTATTGGTAGGTCATTGCAGTAATTTAATTGAGGGGATTTTACCTCCCAGTTTTTGTGTTTGAATTTAACAAGTTTCCCTTGAATACACACACATTAACATGGAAAACTAAAGTAAGATATAAAATGGCTTGATTTAATATAATTTGTGCATATTTTTACAGAAATTTAAATACGTAAAGTTTTGTACTTTTCCTTTCTTGTGAATTTGTTCCTCACTGACTCCTTTATTAACAGTAATGAATCTTACAGTTACAGATGACACACAAAGGCATTGCTTTCCATTTCAAAAGTAACTACCCCAAGCTAACATTACTGTTGCATCTGGAATGAAAAACTGAGTTCTGTAGGACAGTCTTCATGTACTGCCTCTCACTGCATGTGTTCCTTGTGTTTGCTTGATAGCTCACTGAATCTGGGCCTAATTTAATCAGCATACAGGACAAATTACCTTGTAGATCACCTGAACACAGATGTGATGTTCCTTATGTCTAAAGATCCCTTTCTGACCATTCACATAGCAATGTTAGCAGAAAGACATAGGCAGAGCATGAATAGAAGATGAAGAACCACTGCCTTCCAGAAAGATTTTAGGTTGCATCCTAAAACTGTATTCTGTGTCTACAGGTGAGAACCTTTAAAAACTACAGTTAGTATGGAAAGTACCTTTCTGTAGCATGGTCAGTAACTACAGTTTTCAACAGTAAGCCTCATTACCTTTAATTGATGAAAACCTTAAGAGTCGCAACAGAACAATTCTACTATTTGTCCTTCCTTTTTTTAATGTGCTGAGAATTAACTGATAATTTAGCTGTATGGTGCTAATGAAAAATACAGAGATTACATTGTTACTTTGTCTGCTTTCCATTTGATAGGAGAAGGACCAGCGCAGCCTAGACATAAATACTGCCAAGTGCATGTTGGGGCTTCTGTTAGGAAAAACATGGCCTCTTTTTCCAGTATTCCATCAGTTCCTAGAGGTATGATGCAAAGTTTGAACCATTCTAATTTTTATTTTTTTAATCTTGAAATATTTAAATATTGAAGTGACATCCATCAATGAACGACTGAGATAAAAGGATTTCTATTCAAATTTTAAATGTTAATTTCATAACATTAAAGTGCAATACCCAGGTCCTTGCACTACATCTGTATTTGACATCCAGTCCTTAAAAAGCCATTTGCTGCTGAGGTTTATTTAAAATGGGATAGAGTTCAGAGTGACTCTTTCCTTGTTTCTTACCATATTTACTCAATGCTAAAGTAACTTTGAATTTTTGTTATAAATTTCTACATCTAGAATCTAATTATTGGGGGGGGTCATCTTAAATTTGTCCCCCACACTGCTGCATCAAGAAACAGCACCAGTGGGGCATGCAGTGGGAAAAGCAGAAGCAAGGGGGCAGGTGGGGGGGGGGTGGGAAGCAGAGGAGAGGAGTGGAAAGCAGGGGCAGGCAGGGGGAAAGCCAGAGTAGGGGTGCTAGCATCCTGCCCCATATCACTTGCCCTCCTGGTGACTACCATCCTACCATTTACTTCCTCCTCCAGCTGCTTTCCTTGCTGATCTGGGCACATGGGGAGCCCCAGAGTTGTTCCTGTCCACACTGCAGGAAGCAGCTGTGCTGGGAACCCTGCTTGGCACCCCACAGGCTTCTCCTGCCCTGCTTCCTTTCCCTCTCTCCCTTCTGCTGTCTCCCCATGGCAGGAGTAGGAGAGAAAGGAGCAGGGCAGGGAAGGAGAAATTGGGAGCTGGGCTCCTGCACAGTTGTTTCTCACAGCTCTCAGTTGTGAAGTGTAATTCTAAGACGAGGCTTTGTTTCTCCCTTGATGAATTGGGGGGAGGGGTGATGACACCTCACCTTAGAATTGAGTAAATATGGGAAATTTCACTGTTTTGTTTCTTTGGTTTTACAAAATCCTTTATCATTGCAGAAACATATTATGCAATAATAAATTGTACTCAGTTTTGCTTATTTAACTCCTGTTTTGATTCCTGTGAACCTCAACTTCATCCAAGGTTTGTTATCATATTTTGAATTGTATTAAGTCTTAAATTGTTTCATATTTTGTTGCATAGCCAGGGATCCAGGTTTTGTTTCCCATGGGAAAATGGAAAAAAACTGCGGATTTCCCCTTTTACCTGAGAGAAATGCGGATTTTTCATTTTAATGGAGAAACACATGGATTTTGCACTTTTGCCAAGAGCTCTCTGCAGGCTGGCAGCGTTCCAGCCTTCAAGGGGCTGGGGGGAGTGGGAGGAGGGTGGTCAGGCAAGGGGTGCCATGTGGATGTATATGCATATGGCTGCCAGGCAGCCTAGAGGGCAACTCCCATAGGTAAGTATGGTGGGAGTGGCAAGGGATTGAGGCCTACCTCCATAGTGAGGGAGGGAGTTGGGCAGGACGGGGGCTGCTGCCCAGCTGGGCAGTGCCTGAGGCTTGGGGCCCAGGGCCAGAATGCACGGCTGCAGGGCCCTGGCGGGGATTGGGATGGGGCCATGGGTGGCTCATCTGTGAAGTGGGGGTGGGGCTGGTTCTCTACTGCTGCATTCACTTCTGGGGGGCGGGCATAGATTTCTGTGTGGGGGACGGAGCCAGGCTCAGCCTCCCTGCCCTGCTGCCATCCCCCAGGGCCTCTGCAGCCCAGTGAGTGGGACCTGGTGCTGCAGGGCAGAGTGGGGCCCGGTAGGAAAGCTCCTTGCTGCTGCAAGCTCCGTATCACCCTGGCAAGGCATCCCGGGCCCACCTGGCAACAGCAGGGGTGGCAGTGTGGGGTTGTGCCCCTCGCTGCTGAAGGGTGCTTTCTCACCAGGGCAGTGCAGAGCTCGCAGTGGCACTGAGCTTCCCTGCCCAGATCCGCTGTGCCCTGCCACACTAGGTCCCACCCACTGGGCTGCAGAGTTCCTGGGGGAGGGCAGCAAGGCAGGGAGCCCCAGCCAGCAGTGGGCAGCTGACTCCTGACCCACGCACAGATCTGGGTGGCACGGGTTCCCCCTGCCCTGTCCTTTGGAGTGCACTCAGCAGAGGGGAGCCAGCCCCACCTGCCCGAGCCCACAGCGGGCAGCCTGCACCTACCCCCACCCCACCATGGGTTCTGCTCTAGCCATGCTGCCTACGGCAGGAGGGAGCCAGGCTCCATGCTCTGCTATGTTGCAGTGGCTGCTGCCACATGCAGATGGCAGCCGGGGCTTGGGTGCTGCTGCAGGAAGTAGGGGGCTGTGGAGCCTGACCCCGTAGCCCTGGCAGCTAGGGGCCTCCTCTGGCAGGGCGGGGGGAGGAGGGGTAGGGGACTGTGGGTGTGGAGTGGGGCACCAGCAGGGCCAGGGGATTGTGGGGGGGCAGGGTGTGAGGGCACCAGCAGGGTCAGGGGGGCTGTGGTTGGGGAGTGAGGGGCACCAGCAGGGCAGGGGGCTGCTGGGGGACAGTGAGAGGCACCAGCAGGGTCTTGGGGGGCTGGAGGGGTGAGGGTGAGGGGCACCAGAAGGGCCCAGGTGGCTGTGGTTGGGAGTGAGGGGCACCAGCAGGGCTGGAGGGCTGTGGTTTGGGAATGAGGAGCCTGCACCTGTGTTCTGTGAGCTAAGGGAGCAGGAGGAACTCTGATTTGCCATGATAAAAAAATCAAAATTTAATACCAAATTTATAGGTATGTAGAATTTATTATAGTGATTGAGGCACTGGTAGACTTGAAATTGCTTTAAAATTGTAAACATATCAATAAAACATTTTGTTCTATTGATACATATATGTATATATAATGGTGTTGTTTCATTTTGATTGTGAATTTTGGGGGTTTTACCATAGAATTTGCAATTTTTTTTATCAGAGAAAACCAGGATCCCTGTTTATAATTTATGCTTCTTGTCTCAAGCAGCAATCAAAATACAAAGTTATCAACAAGGACCAATGGTGCAATGTTCTAGAATTCAGCAGAACAATTAACCTTGACCTCAGTAATTATGATGAAGATGGAGCCTGTAAGTATTATTTCTTTAGAAGTATTCTTAATTCCCTCTCTTTTTCTCCATATGACCCTAATTCTTCAATTCATTTTTCAAGATGAGAAAAATATAATGAAATATAATAATTTGATATCTCTCTACAGGGCCAGTGTTGTTGGATGAATTTGTGGAGTGGTATAAAGGAAAACAGATGACATAGGAATTTAACTATGCAGAGCTGCTCAAGAGTCACTGTTACCACAGTTATGTCAACCATTAGCCATAAACTGCTGTTTGTATCAAAGTGCATGCTGCTTTTCTTGCACTGTATCCCTTTTGCAGGGAACTTTCGGTGTTTGCTATTTAACAGGCCAGCTCTGCTTGCTGTGTAGCATTGTTCTCTTTGAAAGCTGCTTTGCATTTTGTATTTACACTACAAATTGGTGAACTTGCCAGCGTCCTCACTGTGATTATGTGTATATTGCTGTCTAAATTTTGTATATGTGTATAAAAATGCTTCACCTAGGGATTATTTCCGCAGAAATGTATTGTAAAAATAATTTTGTGGCATATTTCTAGTCACCTTCAATGAATATGTAACTTTTATTTTATCTTTTTTTTTCTTTTGGTCTCAAATGTAGCATTTCAGAAAAGACATACAAAAAACTAGAACTCTTGGTTCCAAAATGATACCTTTTATTAGACCAACTGGAAAATGGCAAGAAAATTGTCCTTTTCTGTAAGCTTTTGGGATCAAAATCCCTTCGTCAGGCTCTGGGAAAAGTGTAGATGGTACAAGATGGTAAAAAGTCCCCATAGGTAGGAAATAAACTTCATTTTTACACAGAGAGAGCTGAAGATTGAAGTCTGTCCCTCTGGGTCCATGAGAGTGTCTTTGTGAGCTGTGTTGAGTAGCTCTTTGATGTGTTGATCAGGTAGAATTCAGAAAAAAAATGTACAGACTGTTTGGACATAATTACCTTGAGGAACTATTGCAAGTTTTAATGTTACTGTTGAAGATGCCAGTCTCTGAGAGAAGCTTTATTAAAACTTACTTTGCAGGTACATGCCAAACATCACTTTTCTTCAGTAAGGGAGAAGTATTGGTGTCTTTTAAAAATTATGATTAAAACTGTAATAGTTGTACATGCCAGAGATAATTTCCACTTGGCGAAGAAAGTATGGAGTTTTTAATGTTAAAACTGCAGTAGTTTGATTCTAGTAGGTACAAGTGAGCAAATTAAAGTACCTTTGAAAAATGGGTTTTAGACTTTTGTAAATTGCCTTTGGCATATTTCTTTTGTTTTGATTTTACCAAGGTTGTTTGGACTGTGTTGCCATAAAGAGAAATTTAAACTTTTATTTAAAATTAGTGGTGGGGGAGTTAAGACCTATAATCCCTAACCAACAGTTAACCTAGGTTTGGATTTTTGTTTGTAACTTCAGTCAGTCTTTCCCATGCTATAAATTCGTGTGACTGAGTAATTAAAAATTACACTAAATAATAAAAAGTTACTACTTTTTTCATGCTGGGTTTGGATTTTCCTGCCAGAATGTCCGTTGCAGGCAATGGGCACATTAAACACCAGCATTTAAGAGTTAACAGTGTAATTCCTTTTTTTAAGAGCCCCTTCCTTTTTCACTCATTTGATTATTTACATAAGAAGGTGATAGCCATTGCTTTGGGGAAATGAGTGAGTGGAGTGGTGTCTTAAGTTCTCTACTTTTGTCGTGTTGTCTTTGCCTTACCTTTCTTCATAAAGTAATGTCAATGTTGATTTAAAAAACAGATTGTTGAAGTATCTGGTGCTATTAAATGTTGGCCCATAAGGATCAGTTAAAATATCCCGAACTTTCAGCAGTACTAAAGGTCCAGTTCTGCTGTTATTGAAATCACTGACAAAACTCCTGACTGTGTCAATGATAGAACTTTGGGATGAAGCCTAATTAATCAAAAGCACGCCAAGCTGCTCTGCTGGACCAGAAAGTCTAAGGTCTTTTGCTACTTGTAATTGGTTTGTGTTTAAAACTGTTTTTTCCGAATTCAACCACCAAAGACAAAAGTCATGTATATATTTAAAAGTATATGTGCATATACAAAATCTAAAATCACATCATGGTAAAATGAAAATACTGCCTTTTCCCACCAAAGTCATGTTTAGGTTGCCATGGAATAAAAGCGAATAGGACTCTCAAAGGTTTCATAATGACAAAGCATACATAATTGTTACTTGTTTGTATGCGAACACATAATATGAATTCCATATTTGATGCTAGTTTGCACCTGATGATAATTAAATGGAGTATGGTATTTGTTTACAATAAGCCTCTTATTAAAACACCTGCTTTTAAATAAGATTTCTAATGTAAATGTGTATGTTACTACAGGTATAGCCATAGAGAAAACATCTGTGGAGCTACTGGTTTAGGTCTCTAAAAATAACTTGGAAACAATATTGCTTGAAAAATTAGGCTGTATCATGGTTGCTAGAAACTTAAGTGAAATATTGTAAGTGTTCATAAATACTAAGCTAGTTACAATTTCAGGCAAGCTTTTAGCAAGGGTGGTATAGTTAATGCTAAAATACAAGATTTGTTGCAGAAAAAGTTTTGTATGTTGCAAATAACCTGGCTTCCAATAATGGAGGCAAGAGCCAAAGAAACTTTCAAGAATGCGACAGATATCTGGCAAAACAGGGTCAACAGAAATCTGTGTGTTTAGATCACCCTGCTGTTCTTTTGCAGATTGTACTGTTTAACAGAATCTAAAATTTAATTTAAAAACTATTCATACGGAGGGGGAGCAAGGAGGGGGGAATTGGTTTAAATATGAACCATATTAATGATGACTAGAATTACCTATCCTTTCTGTTGAATAGATGAAATTGTATTTTTGGTCCTCAGCAAGTTTCTAATATGCAGGTGTCATAAAGCAAACTGCTAACATACTTGCAGATAATTAGCACCTTTATTGGCATTTACATTGTAGAAACCCAAAGCTGAATGACTTGACACTGAATGAATTTCCCAGCTTATTGACCCAGTTTGCCATTCTGCTGCCTTTCCTGTAGTTGGTCTGTGGATAAACAGAGGACTTCAAGGCTGAATGTATCTTAGAGGAACAACTTTTTACGTTTAAATTACAACTTTTTTAAATTGTTCACTTTGCCTTCTGTTAAGTACATAGTTTCCTCTAAGACAAAATAGCACTTTGTCATATCCCTTGTTTTTAATAGAAAATGCAGAAAATGTACCAATTTTTTGGCCAAAAGTTAAATCAAAGACACAGAATAGTCAGGAGCATATCTTAAATTCTTTGCACATACTTCTGGTGTAAAATACTTGTCCCTATAGTGAAGATGTAATGACCTATGTGTAACTGTGGCAAGTAAAGAGAGGAAATTAGTGTTCTGGTACTATATTGATTCGTATCACAACAATATTTAAGTTTGATTAATGATAGGCATTGTTAAAGTTCCTTATTTAACAGATTAAGAATAAAGAATGTTAGTTTCAGGAGAACATTGTTAGGTTATAGTTATACCAAATTCTTTCTGCTGCTAAATAGAGTAGAACAATCCTATACTAATAGATGGGGATGTGCTGTTTATTCCTCAGTATTACCTTTATTGTTTATTTTAAAACAAGTCTATTCCAAATGAAAATACAGTGTAAGCAATGAGAATTGATTAAGAATAAGTTTTTGTAGCAGCTCCCATTGTGAGTCTAAACAAACAATTAACCACAGATTTATACTATTGTATCACAAACTCAAGTGTTTCATTGTTTTCTCAAAAATGCTAATGCACAATCAAATGGGGCTGCTGATTTAATGTTCTCCAGGCATATTTTGGATGGGATGGAGGTGTATCTTAGTTTTGCTGGGGCTTTTACAGATTTCTGTTGACCTTTGGTCACAAATTTAACACATTTATTTCATGAGTATTTTAAGAAACTTAAGTATGAGAACTTTAAAGGTCCGCTTGTGCCCCTGATTTAATATCCCTGCTAGAAATACCTCTTATAAGCCTTATATTTTATCCTTTCATATTGTTGTATAAGTGTATAGAATTCATTTACCAACACAACCATTGGTTGTCTAATTCAGATCAAAATTTGAGGCAGGGTGTTGTGTGTGGAGGGGAGGGGGTTGTGTGTGTGTTGTTGCAAAATAGTTTTTACTGACACTGCTGTTATGGGGACAACAGTTAACCTACAACTGTGAATGCTCTTGTGTCTTAGGTATTTGCATATTACATACATGTGGCGTGCTACAGTCCTGTGACTCACAGTCTGACTAAAGTACTGTTATGCCTCTTAACCTGAGTTCAGCTCATTGGTTTTTTAGGTTATGTTGAAGTTAATGCATCCCACAAATAAACAGTATTTGTGTTGGTTTCAGAACATGACTTTTTCTGTGGCTTGCAGTTCAAAAAGCAGACTTTCTTCTGAACTTGCTGTGCAAAGTACTGGCCCAGAACCGACCTTGTTTAAAAGAGACTTAGTTCTTTTTAAAATACTAGTTATAGTTGAACTTGCCTATATAGTCCAAGTTGGGTTTTGGTTTTTTTAGCTATTTAAATTTGTGTTAAACTTTAGTGTTTTGGCTACTTTTGTAGTACTGCAGAACTTCTGTGCTAATGTATTCTGCTAAGGGGCATTTGTACAATCTTGTGCTTTTTACTCTCTTAATATAAAGGAAGCCGTTATTAACATTTGTTAGGAAATGCTTTATGTTTCACAATGGGGTGTGTATATATTGTAATTAGAAGTTTTCTTTTTGCAGAGAACTCCAAATATATCTCTTCAAGTGGAACTGAACAATAAGCATCTTTATAAACTGTTCACCTCTCTTTAAATGTACGCTATTTATGGCATTTCCCTGAATAATTTCATCATCATTGTGTTGAAAAAAGGGTAGCTCTAGTACTTATAAATGTAAATAATATTTTATTTGAGGCAGTGTGTGAAACCTCAAATAACTACATTTTATCTCGTTTTGAAAGGAACAACTGCTAAAGTAAAATGTTTGGCTTGTAGTAAGCCACTCAATTTATATTATGAAGAACAGGCAGGAAAAAATAAATTAAAATTTCTAGCAGTATGGAGTCCAAGAATCCTAATGGAATGATTTATTTTAATAGGTTTTACATGACAGAAATATGAGTACACCATATGTGTTTATGTGAGCCTGTGATTTTTTTATTATTATTTTTTTTTTAAGTCTGCTTTCACTATTGTGGTTGAATTGCAAATCTATTTTTGGGTTAGGGAGAGAGACCTAAAACAATTTAGAGAGAACAAAGAATATTTGAGACAACTCCTAGAGGTCTATTCTTTTTTAGTATTATATGAAATATTGTTTCTGTCACTCTTACGCAATTCATTTTAAACTGTTAAAATGTGTTCCAGAGAATAAGTCTGGAAAAGGGAGCATCTGGAATAATAACCTAAAATGGAAGTGATGTTGCAGCTGACAAAGAGAAACCGCCTCAGTGTTCTCCTGGATAAGTCTTCAGTCAAGAATCCATACAGTAGTTCAAGAAATCATGGGGCCTCTTTGTTGGAAAATGTATTTATCCAACATCAACAGTGTATGGCAGGCTAAGGTTTATCTAAACATAAATTATACTGCTTTTGTTATACTGATTATACAGATACAGAGCTGTTTTTATATAATTATCTGGGAGATAACAAAAATTGGTCATAGTGAAAAGTTTTA